CTTGAAGTCTTAATTATTATCCACTTCTACAAACAAAAATAACATTTGTATTTTTTTGAGATATTTGCTATCTTATATGGCTCAAAAAGATATATAAAGAATATAAGATATATCTTCATAGACTCTAATAGATGTACTCAATAAGCAACTTGATTCATTTATTTATAAATAAGAAATAATCTAAACCTACAATAATCTAACTTATCACAAGGGATGCTAGACTTATTATTAGAACAAAATAACCATTTTTTTTTGCAACATGAAAATATAATTATTCCTTGCAATAAGCATCTATGTTGGTCATTTTTTTGTTCTTAAGCTTCTTTGAATTGTGCCTTCATTATTGTATGAAGTTCTAACTAACAATTTGTCAAATCTTTTGCCATATGATTATCAATTTTTGTAAAGTCAAAAGCATCAAGGCATGGATGATAATCATTATTGATAAAAAAAAAAAAAAAATTATTAATTAAAAGAATATATTATATTATCATAAATAAATTCTATTAATCAAAAAAGATTTTTTCAATCATCTTATTGATAGTTAATAATATACCTCAAATATTACTTTAAATCTTGATTTACGTACTCCACATTGTCCATCGATTTGAGGATGAAAATTTGAAGATAGTTTTTTTTATCAATCTTTAGAATCTTAAAAATAATTCTTTAAAATCTTAATAGAAATTAAGTCCTTCTATTCAATATAATATCTCCTAACAATCCATGATAGCAATTGATATTTCAAGAAAAAAACTTAGTTGTTTTTTCACTTGTGATAAATTTTATAAATAATATAAACTATGCCATCTTAATAAAACGACCTACTATTAAAAATATAGAATTATAAGAACTTGTAGTTAAAAGATTCATGATAAAATCTATAGAAATAGAAGACCATGATTGTTCTAGAATATATAATCATTAAAAAAAAGTCCATAAGGTCAATGATGAGTTCTTTTAATTTTAAACAAATGTCACATAATTGTAAAAAGTCTTTGAGTACCTTCTATATTTGAAGCCACCAAAAATCTCTAGATATTAACTCCAAAATCTTATTGTATCTAAAATGTTCAGTTATTAAAAAGTTGTGATGAGCTTGAAGAGTATATAATTGAACTTTTTTTTTCAGAATATATAATTTTTTCTAAAAATAGAGAAAATTATTATTTAATTTGAACTTAAAAATATCATTAAACTTAAAATAGATTAGATTTTTGTCTAAATATCAGATAATAAAATCACCAAGAAATTCTTATAAAACATCATTTATTACATATTAAAAAGTAATTGGTGTATTTATGAATCTAAAAGGCATGCCATTATATTTGAAATATCCATATGTAGTTCAAGATATAATCTCTCATTCATTTCTTCTTTGATGCATACCATACTATATGTTCTTTGTTGATTTATTTTTATATAGATCTTTTCTTGATTGAATTAATGAAAAAATCCTAAAATCAAAGATAAAATATATCTATTTATGATGGTGATCTTATTGAATTTTTAATAATCTATATACATTTATAATGATTTGTCTTTCTTCTTTATAAATAAGATAGAAGCACCTGCTAGAAGTTTTGAATGACATATAAAGTTTTTGGCTAAGTTTTGATTAATGTACTTTTTAAATATAGCCAACTTGTTTTATAATAAGCTATAGATTGGCCCAAATTATAATTGAGCTTTTTATTAAAGATCAATTGAACAATAATATGGATAATGCTTTGAAAGGATATTTGCATTCTTCTTCTAAAAAATATCTTAATAATCTTAATATTAATTTGGACTATTAATTACAGTCTTTCTACTATTAAAAATAGATGTGGCATTTATAACAAAAGATGTCATTTTTTTTCTTATATGTATAAAATTCTTGCATCTATCAATAAGAATTTGGTTGTATTAAACTTATGAATCTTTGCTTAATTAATAGAATCTAAGATTAAACTACAAAAAAAAAAAAAAAAAAAAAAAAAAAAAATCAATGTTAAAAAAAATCCAATCTATTTGAGGATTATACTTCTCTAGTCATAATAATTCTAAACTAGCTATATTTAATGGAGATCTAATCACATTAAATAATACTAAACTATTATAGTTATTCGTTGTTACATCTAAAAGAATAGTTTTATAGGTGACATTTTTAGAAGATAATAAATGACTATCTATGACTCCAATATGGACAAGTTTGTTTTTATTAACTAAAAATATTTCTTATTTTTTAACAAAGTCTTTGTTTATAAAACAAATTGAGACTCTTGAATCTAACAAAGCAAAGACTTTGTGATTTTTTGGTCCTATAATAATTTCTATTATAAAACAAGGTGATGGATCTGAGAAGAGAATAGGACCTTTACTAGGTGTTGCATAAGATTCCAATCACATAGTCTCTATTATAACTTTAAAAATTAATTTTTTGACACATTATTTTCTTTAGCAACTATGCTCTTCATTTTGTCGTTGTATTGCTTCTTTGGATAATATTGAGTAGTATACTTAGATTCTCTATAGTATATGGACAAACTTTTCTAACAGCATTAAGTATTTTTTTGCTTATTAAGAGGTTTAAAACATATTTTATCATTTTGTATAGGTTTTAAACTTTGTAAATAAGCTTTTGTAAACTTAAAATATATTGCCATGACTTGACTTATATATCTCCAACTGAATCTTTGTTCTTAGTATCTTTCAAAGAGATATTTATTGTATACAATAGCTTAAGTAATAAATTGCTCCAATGAGTTTGGTTTCGACATCATCAATAGTAAATCATTGACATAATTTTTTAATCTATACTAAAATTAATTAATAAGAGCCTTATCACTCTAATTTACGTCATAAGCAATATTTTGGAATTTAGCAGCATATATGGTGGCTAAACATAATCTTTGTTGTAAAGATATGAAATTGGTCTCTACTATCTTTTTTTCATCATTTTTTTAAGTTGCTATAAATAATTTTAAGAATAAATTTAAATCATAAAAAAAAAACTTAAATCTTTTTTTATCAAATATACAAAAAAAGAGAAAGCACTCTCAAAGAAAAATACATGTATAAATCCAACTTGAGTACATCCATCAAGGTATTGACAAAGATGCAACCTTAGATAGAACTTTATTTGTTGTAGAAATCTTCAAAACTTTGATCTTGTTTCATCAAAATTTTCCAATATACTTATTTTTACTTCTCTCATACTTATAATAGGAAGACTTCTTGAATTTAATTGTGAACTTGATCTACTTGCTTCTCTCAGTTATACAACTTCTTGATATGGACTTTAGACTTCATTGTTGATTCCTTCTAGAGGTGTCAAAATACTACCTCTATAGTTGATATTAGAAATACATGAAATTTCTATTCTAAAAATATTGATAAGCTTGTAAAGATCTAAAATGGTTGCAAATCTATTTGACTAATATCAAAATTAGCATTTATAATTTTTCTTTCTATAGAAAATTCAAATAAATTAAGAAGTCTAATTAAATGATGGTAATACATAACTTTTAATACCAAATGAAAATCTCCACAAAGAAGAATAGCCAACTATTTTTAAAGAAAATAATTAGTATTTAGAAAATTAAAAGTTAGTTTGAAGGTAGATAGTTTGTAACCTTCAAAATACAATAATAGAAGTGAGTTAATCTACTGACTTCTAAAAAAAATAATAATAATGAGTTAGCACTCCTATCAAACTATCAAGGACATGAATTTAAAAAAAATAAAAGATCGATACACTCTTAGGTTAGTTGAAAAGACTAAAAAATCATTCAAAGATGGTATAATATTAAACTAAAATAGCTATTGTGAAAGATAAGAAGACTACAAGGTCTTGAAACAAGACTAAGGATTAGAAAGATATTAATAAGAATGAAGAAGGCTTTATTCTTGCCTCCATATATACTATCTAATTAAGAGCTGCATGGCCACGTTCTATAGGACCTCCAAAATGTATCCAATTTGCGAGATAAATAAACTTACAAAATAAGTTTCTTATATGTGTGCCATATAGTAAGCTTGTTTTACAAGCTACTAACATGTGCAACATGTGGCTAATTTGTTGGCTAAGTTTCTAACTTATCAATCAACTACAAATATGTTTAGAGTCAAATATGCATTTATGAAGCTTCTAAGAAGCTTGCCACAAGATAATATCAAATATACTTATATTTATTTTCTATCTAATACTTTTTATCTTGATATATATATATATATATATATATATATATATATATATATATATATATATATATATATCCTTGATATATGTAACATTATATTGTTAGTCATATTAACTTAGATATATACTTTTTATTTAAATTTTATCTATTATAAGCATTCAATTTTATTACCATTATATTAGTTGATTTGAATTAATTAAAATTAATAATATATAGGTGATAAGACTCTTTAATTTAACATTCTTGCTAAGTCAAATCTTATGAGTATTTTTGAGAGTTCTTTTTTTGTACTTCTTAGGACATAGTAGTTGACTATTTAATAAAGTAATTGAGATTCTTTTCAATGGTTTTATTCTTCAATTTTCTTCTTGTGGAATTATAATAGCTTGATTAATTTTTAAGTGATTTTTCGAAAATATTCTAATAATATTTTTGATTGATAATTGAAATCTAATTTTTTTTATTTGTTCTTCTAAGACTCACATTAGACAGATAGAAAAAATTCCAATATTTTTTCCTATTTAGATTCTCAAAGTGCTCTTTAAGTTTGAATTACTAATAATAGTAATTGAATAGAGGTTTTTCTTCCACAAAATAGAAAATTAGTATATATATATATATATATATATATTTGTATTTTTTAAATGTATTTTTTATTGCTTTTATCAACATCAATTAGAGGTGGATTGGTACTTATTAAAAAACTAATGTAGTTTCTTGCCAAATTTGGAAGAATGTTCTCTCCAAAAGTTGGTTTGATGAGATAAAGTCGTTCTTGAAATCAATGCATGGAATGTGCGGGATCTGACAAGGACAAACTACAAAACAGCGAGGACATTCAATATATTACTTCTCAGTTTCGACAACATAATGCTTCACAAAAAATACTTAGGGTACTAACTCAAATCGTCCAGAAAACTCGTATTTGGAAGTAATGGTATCACTATTGTTTTGGTTTTCCAAATCTCAAAGAGTAATCATGAGAAGTGCTCAAACTTCTTTAATTGAAGGGTGACGGGGATTTTAGTCGTCAAATGAGAATGGATGCTTGTCCTGAGTCGTCTAGTGGAATTTTTTTAAGTTTGAGGCTTCTTCACTTCAAGCAATTCGATATTCAGCTCAAATGTCGCACCGGGCTGCACATCAAACACAGAATTCATTACATCGTTCGTGTCCCCAAAACAGAAATTTCTTGATCATAAGCACTGACCATTAACATTCTAGCAACTAGAGGTAGGTCCATTATTGACAAAGTCATTGGTAATAGGTCACCAAGATTTTGTCACCAGGTTACAAACGTAATTGAAAAGATACAACTCGATAATAGTAGACGTCATCGCAAGTGCCCAGCATACAATGACTGGACGGTACTTCAGTAAGTCTTTTGACTTACAGGGATTTCATTTTGCCCCTTTTTGCCGTAACCAAGCTCGGGAGTAACAATCACGGTTCGCTGTAAATTTAACAGGAGTAGGGCATTAGTCCAAATTAAGACAATTAGTACGTAAACCGAAAGGCAGGTCAGCACCATTAAACGACTAGGCTCTGCCAAAAGTAGTTTGAGAACGAGGAAATTGATTGTCGACAAGAACAAAGTTAGAAATAGCTATTGTAAACAAGAATTCAATAATCTCATAAGCATAGTCGTCACGTCCAGAGGTGAGGCAACAAAGCAAACGCTTCTGTATGTAGGACAGAAACACCAGTGCACTTACTTTGCCACCTACACGCATGCCTTCAACAATTGAATATAGAACCGGAGGAGGTTTTGGAGCAGCCTGAGCAGAGAAAAGCCCATTAGCGTTGTCAACGAAATCCCGCTTCCGCTCCCTGCCAGGTTCAGCTCCTACGGTAAGCTCGTATGGCTGCACATAAGAATATGGTAGTTTGTTTTAGCTAAATTGAACTCTTAATAGTTGAATCACCATAAAAGTAGAATTGGCTGAACACAAAAAAACAAACCAATCACAAGATCAATTTGAACCCCCTAAACAATCTCGACATCAATCACACATCCATTCACCTCAGCAATTGTTCGATTTCCAGCAAGAAGTTTTGACTCTCTGCTCGAGACAGCAGTGATGGTCTTGTACACGCAATCGAAATGTACCTGGTACAGAATTCAAATAAAATCTAATCAGTTCCTCACCAAGAATTGATGAAGCAGAAGAACTCAGGTGCTGAGAACGATGATCTACTCAAACTGTGACAAATTTAAAGACTGGTCAAAGAATCAAACACGTAAAGGATGGGCAAAGGCCATGCACTGATATGGTCTTGCTGTCGAGAAATCAACGCACAGTTCAAAAATTCCTAGAAGAAGATTACATCACAACTTAGAAACCATCGGAACAATATGGCGTAAAAAACTACCATAACAGATTCGCCTTTAGTAGCAACTGCTCCCTTCCCTTCTTCGATATCGAAATATTTAATACCTGTATCTGCTTGACGCAACATGGACGGTACATGAGAGAATTGACTATCATTTCATGCATATAACTAGTTAAGTTAAAAACATGACGAACACATTCACAGCTTCATGAAAAAAATAAATGAAGAAAACGAGATAGCATCCAAAAACAACACTCCACGCCTTGCATTTAAACGATTAGCATCAAAAACACGTGCTCGTTTCTCCTTAATGGATTTCTAATATTCTGAAGAAATAATTGCACCAAAATCGCTCTAGAAGACGCAGTACTACATCTCAACCTTGCCAGATTAGAATACTCACTGCTTGGACATATCAGGTGAGAGACTAATTCGAGGAAAAAGATGAGGTAAAAACCATGTAAAATTTGGCAATTACTCGACACACGCTAGAAGATCAACGCTGAGCAGACTGTAATCTAGATTTCTTTTACAATATTTCATCGACCAATTGCAGTCAAGATTGAATGCGAACGTTTACATTGAAGATACTGACGACAGACACGGTTCAACTAATTCGAGAACTAAATGAAGAAAGAAATATTGTCAAAGCAAGAACTAAATCGAGTGGTGCATTGCGTCATTGAACTTCGTGAGTGTGGATAAGCTTCTTACGCAATTCACCTCTGAAAGCAAAAGAAAAAAGAAATGGAGGTACCACTTGTTAGATAATCCGTTTCAGCGATCGTCTTCTTGTTCCGTCGATCTCTCGCCAGTGCCTCTCCACCATTCCCCAACATGCTCATTGCCAACACGCCAAGAATCGAATTGAGGACCTTCCGGCGTCCCGGCGACGCTTCATCCTGAATTTCATTTCTTCCACTGCAGGAAGTTGTGCAAGTACCTTGCTCCTCGCTCAAACTGCATCTAACTGAGCTCCAAGCACCGCCAATTTGCGTCTCCAGACCTACATTGCGTGACGCAGAGCCGTCTGGCACACTGCCCAAAAGCAACGTCCTCTCTAAACCAAAAGTGGACCAAATCGGCTGCCGAGAGCTTAGTCCTGAACATTGCGATCCAGAAGCCCTGGACGATGCAGAAGCAGCTGCTGCTGTAGAGGACACAACAGGTAGACGGGGCGAGGAAAGGACGAACGCCATGGCAGGCACGGGCATGAAGACGAGAGCGTTTCGCCATAGCTCTCTCCCTGCTCCCAAGCAAAACAGTGACATTAGATGGATGGATGAACTAATGGGTGAATAGTATATGCCGTGAGCATCGCCATCGTCTACACCTTATCTTCATCCGTCCATATCCTCAGTTGCTCGCTGGCCCACCCAGACTCATTCCTGTCTCCCACAGGCCCCGTGTTCCATCCATGCCCTCAAATATTTCACCACGCTCTTAGGGGGTCAGAGATCCCACAGCTGCTCTAAGCCCGCGTCTGCTCGAAGACTGGGCGCGACACGGTACCTTCCATTCTTTCTACCTCCCTACCTTCCTACCTTCCTGTTCATTCAAACAATCCGATTTCAACATATACATATTCGTAGTTAGTTATAATTTATTCAAATTCTTTTGTGGATTGAATATGTTTTTGTTTCTGAACTGCATTAGTATTTGTAATCAACCGAAATAAAAGTATTAATTTTAATGTTTTATTAACCTTTATATATATATATATATATATATTCATTATAGATGCCACCTACAACCAACACACACCATGCTCTAGATGTTTACTGTAATTTTTGTGTCAGTACATGCATGTGTAATTTCTTATACATTGTATGCTTTCATTTGACCTCACATAGTTTTAATTTTCTCTATTTAAAATCTTTGAATTCTATTTGTTGTTCTGCTTTAATTATTTGTTTTCTTATTTTTCAAGTAAATAAAATTCGAGTAATTGTATTCTTAAATATGTTTATGACTGTAATCAAAATGATACATTCAAAGGTATTTTTTTATTCTTTCAACATAATAAGAATTTTGAAGATTTAGTTCTAAGTAATAGTATATGTGTATGTATGTATGATAAAGAGAAAGAAATATGTATGTAGGTATGTAATAATAAAAAAATATAATGAAATATGTATGTAGGTATGTATAAATATATATATATATATATATATATATATATATAAGTTTAAATCTTATACTTTTATTTTTTTCTCTGAAAAAAATACAACAAGAATTAGAACAAGAGTATGTACTGTTTATGTGCTCGTTCACGTGTACATATAAAGGAACATTACTTCTTCTTTATACAGCTGTTTATTTTATATGGCTCATGAATATTGTTTGTCTATATATGTACATATACATGTCCACATACATCACCTGCAAACTCTAAAAGAAATACGTACATTTGCTGACATCTTATCAGAATTTGAAGTCAAATCCCAAGTAAATTCAAGTTTTGTTTTCATTTATGAGTGCTTTGCAAACCATTTGATTGAGGATGCGTAAACAGCAAACCATAGCACACCTTTAAATCTTAAGTTTGGTGGATTTTTCAATGTCCAGTTTTAATTTTTAAGAAGTGGAGTTGCAGTAATTACCCATAAAGTAAGAGTGAGATTGAGCTAGGGGTCGAGAGAAGAGTGAGAGAGAGAGAGTGAGGATGAAATGGGGAACTTGGAATGGAACAAGCGTGGGAACAAGCACGGGGACGAACATGGGAGCGTTGGAGTGGATAATGTGCTCCAACTTGGTATATGGAGCACCCTCCCTCGACGCCTCAGCTCTTCCTCCCCGGTGCAGCATAGCCCATTTTTGCTCTATTCTGTGTGATAACTTGTGGTTTGTGCAGCAAAATCTCTGCCTCGCATCCCCGGGAGTACAATGGCAGCTATGGCAGCACAAGCTTCTCTCGTGAGCAGCCCCGCGAGCTTGGGAGCGTCTAGCTCCGTGGCCAGGACCGGCGAGCAGGGTGTGAAGTTGCAAATGGCAGTGCGCGGTCCCGTGTCGCTGAGGTTGAGGTCGCAGCCGAAGAGGTCGGTGGTGACTAGGGCCGCAGTGCTCTCCGCGGACTTGGAGGAGATGCTGGAGAAGGTCAAGAACATGACCCTTGCCGATGCGAAATCCTTCACTGACCGGTTGCAGGAGGATCTCGGCATTACAGCTATGTCGTTCGCCCCCTCTGGTGCTGCTCCTGCTGCCGCTGGCGCTGGCGCTGAGGCCGCAGCCGCCGTGGAGGAGAAGACCGAATTCAACCTGGTCATGGAAGAAGTTCCATCTTCGGCCAGGATTGCTGTCATCAAGGCAGTGAGGACATTGACCTCCTTGGGATTGAAGGAAGCTAAGGATATGATTGAAGGTTTGCCGAAGAATGTGAAGGAGGGAGTTAGCAAGGAGGACGCTGAGGAGGCGAAGAAGGCCTTGGAGGCTGCTGGAGCCAAATGCAGCATCAAGTAAGCTTGATCACTGGTGGCAGGTTGTAGGTTTTTCTCAGGTAGTGATCAGTCTTCTGCTGTCTGTGAGTAAACGGCAGATTGTTCTGTTCTTGAACTTTGCTGGATGTAGGATTATCCTTGGAAGGTGAATCATCTAAGGCATATTGATGCCATGGTTACTAGCCGAATAGATTGATTCTTAGGGTGTAACTTTCCATTCCGAACTGATTAATTTAAATCGGATGTAACTTTCCATGCCGCATTGTCAATGTCTTTGCAATGTCAAATGCAGGTTGAGTAGCTGCCCTTTAGAGAGATGTTTTTTTTTTTTTCAACTTATAAAAAAATGATATTGGTCTGACCTGTTCAGTTGCACCGTTATGTTCAATGATTTCTCTGGCGTGAGGTTGTTTCTATGCTATTCTTGATAGTCTTGAATCATGTGTTCCGTGAAGAGTGTTATTCAGATTTGTATGCCGCTCTTAGATTTTGACTGATGCTATGGATAAGGATTTGCCGCGTTGCCGATGTGAGGGCTCGCTTCGTAGGGTTTTTTGTTCGAATGTCACTAGTCCGAGTTACCAAGTGTCTGGTCAGTGTAGGTAACACTCATAATACTATTTACAGGTATTCCTATCGATATTCATTCAATTCTTTTTTTCTCCAAGCGATTTTGATTATCTTGATAACATCATTCGGAACTCCCGCTGCAGAACATGTAGAATAACTTAAAGGATATTGGGGGCAACTCTAAGAAAGTGGGGTGACCTATCGACGTTGAAACAATGCCATCCGTTTCATTTTGCTACTTTTTAGGAATTGAATTTGTGGTTGTGTTCCGTATTAGGAAATGTCCCGCTATTCCTGAAAATCCTTGAAACGTTCAGAATATTCACCCTCTCTACTTTGGCTGAACTCACCCCGACACATCTGCTTCTGAACTCGCCGCGCAAGATTTATCCAACAGCGAGCAAGAAGTACAATTATTATTTCACGAAACTACAGAACTCATCATCATCGCCCATTGTTGCGATCCCGCCGATGTTTCTCCATCTACGGTTTCACAACCAACTCTCGTAGTGTGAACCCAGCAGAGTTTTCAGCTGTGAAATTGAGCCTAAGACATGATCACTTGGGTGGAACTGAGAGATCACCCTCTCTACGCAGGACAGGCTACAAATTCATTTTTGATGAAACCTCCTAATCTGCTTTAAAAATACGACTGCCGTGGTCCAGAAACACAGAATCTCTAACCGTCATTCTCGCTGTTTTTGTCCCCTTCTCGCTCTGATTTCTTTAAACTATGAAGAATTTCTAGAGTCTTTTCCTGCCATCAAGGAGCTACATGATCAATGAAGCTGACTTCAGAGATGCATTACCAGTTGGCGATACTCAACATTGCTAAATCATGCAGCTTTTGTTGTTGTTGGTGAGGTTCTATGCGGATACTTGACTGTGAGGTCGTCTTGCTTTAATCTCAACTAGATGAACCAGTGTAGTTGTCAGGGATAGTTTTGTTGTGATTGACAATACTTGGAAAATTCCAATAAAATTACTTTGTTCAATAATTTTGTTTATAAAATGATATCGTATGAAATGTATAGAGCTCGTTCCCTGTGAGCTCAAACACAACACTATCCAATTTTTCACAGGTGAGCACATTCTTCACTCACCATGTGTCCTTTAGAATAAAGCAATAACTAATTTTAAAAAGAAAATGTTGAGATCTTCAAGTAGAATTGTAATTATTTGCTAAAACCCAATACTACCAAAATTAAATAAAAACTTGTTCTTTCAACACAAATCTCTTTGTCTCAGTACACCCTATTCAATTTTCCTTTAAAAATTGATTTTTCTTCAACTGTATTCCACTCAAGAAGTTATAATTAAAAAAACTCCTCCCTTCTATTTGGAACAATCATTACTTGACAACAGGGTACATATTGCTATTTTCAGTATTACTATACATAATAGCAATTACATATTTCAAAAATTATATATTTTAAAAATCATATATTTTTAAAAATTTCTTGTATAATTTTTTATGTAATACTCTGCAATGCAAAGCACAATGAAAATTCTAAAATGCAATGCAATGCAAATATACATAAATTTTTGAAAATTCTAAAGATACATTCTCTTTGTAATGCAAAGCCTGATATTATGATTTAAAAAGAATGGATAGCATGGTTTTTGAAATCTTTGATGTTTTGTTAAGTTTTTCTTTCAATTCTAATTGTAAACTTATACTTGTTTTGAACTCTCATTGAAAAATTCTTTAATAGAAGTTCAAACACAATGCACAGATATCTATAGTAGATAAAATAAAAACTTTTGACAGATGCTTCTTGTTAGTGCACAATACAACTTTAAGAAAACACAAAAAAATTGCAATTATGTCTTCCTCTCCATCAAGGACTAAACTTCACCTTCAATCACATTGCGTGCATGTAACAAATAATACATTGCTAAATCTATCTATATTTAGATAAATTCCAATATGACATTCTATTAATCATGTTTAGTTAACCACATTCGTAATGGTCACACCATGCCATAGTCCTTAACTATCATGGCATGTTTGTCTTATTCCTAAGATTTTATTTATGAATTAACAACCTATAATTCTAAAATTCTTCTTCTCCAAAATACAACTTCTAATGATAATATTCTACAACAAGAACTATTGACACCAATATCCTAACACCTAAATACTACATCATCAATGTCCTGAGTCAAAATCAAAACTTACGAATCAAATGTTTGCATCAAAATTTGCTAATTACAATTATTAAGCTTAAAACTTATGAACTTTGCATTGACGCTTATATCTAATTACATAGTGATCAAGATCAGTACATGAAAATAACACATAAGTACATAATGCCTTGAAATGCCTCTATAATTTTACACTTCTTATGTAAGTCAATTAATACAAAAAGTTACATGACTTGATTCTCACTTTGACTAAATTGAAGAGAAAGCATGTGCTTTGAGACTTGAAGGAGTTAATATCTTATAAATTACTTGATTTCTACTAAATATATCTGATCAAAAAAAAAATAAAAAAGAACATCATAAAAATCAACAAGAAGAGAGAATTAAATGTAAGTACGACTTATAATAAATGGTACAGTCCAAATTTCTCCTATAGACGTAAAAATGAATAGGATAGTATTCACAAGATAACACATAGTCGTTTCTCTTCTATACCTATAATTATTTGTTAGTGTGAAGCTACTTGTTTACTTTGAAATCCTTCAACTAGAAAAAAATAAAAAATAATACATATCAGCAATAACAATTATCTTCACTGTTCCAACAATAGAATATCCAACATTCTATTATGAAATTTGCAATCAATGCATCAACATAACTTTATATCATGGACATATACATGTAAGCTAGTAATTACCTATATAAATAGGTAGAAGTAAGTAGAAGTAAGTAAAAATAAGTTAATTCTATAATATCTTCTATAGAAGCTTCATAGATGCTACTTTGACTTTATATGTGTCTATAATTGACTTTTTGGATTAGAAACGTAGTCAACAAGTTGACCATATGCCACACATATAGTTGGCTTGAAGATGAAGCTGATTATATGGCACACACATAAAAAACCTTATCTTGTAAGTCAAGGCATGTGTCTTATAAAGTCAACACATATTGGAGGTCTTATAGAACATCACCATGTAGTCTTTAGTTAGATAGTATATATAGAGAGAAGAGTGAAGTCTTCTTCACTCTTGTCAACTCCTTTCTTACTTTTAGTATAGTTTCAAGAGTCTTATGTTTTCTAGTCTTTGGTCATAGCTATTCCAGTTCTTCCTTGAATATACATACTTTCTTCTATTTTGTCACTTTCTTTTTGACATAGATTCCTTGAATTTATGCATCTTCTTTCACTTTATGTCCTTGACAAATTGACAATATTACACATACAATATCAGAGCTTTGTCCTTTCTTAATTGAGAATGAATTACTCCTTTCTCTTGGTAAGACATAAGCGTATTAGAAGTTGTAGATTATCTTCTACAAACGGTCGACCCTTGGGTATCAATCTAATATATTCTAAGGATTTTTTAGCCCAATTCTACCTTCAATATGATCCTAGTATCAACCATATCAACTATTTGCCTCTTCTACCTTGATTTTAACAATTTATGGCCTTTCTAAGGCAATAAAAGATTTTATATATCATAGAAGGTAAAAATACTAATTAACTTTTATCTACTTGCTATTAAGATAAGAAAATAGGCTAAGAAACTTTTATAAAAGTCTTATTAAAATATTTTGAATTCTTGTTGAAGTAATATAATAGAATATTTATTAAAAAACTATTTTTAGTTATATTTTTAGTATATAATTGTATCACAAAATAACATCGTGTGTTACAAAAACTTAGAGATGTAAGATTGTATACCAAGATGGAAAAGTGTGTATTCTATACTATTCAAGTTGACTTCTTAGGATACATCATTTCAAACAATGGTCTAATGATAGATTCTAAAAAAGTTCACACAATCATGGATTGAAAGATTTTAAAAATAGTAAGAGACATACAATGCTTTTGGAGATTTATCAATTACTATCGAATCTTCATCAAGAACTTTTTTCAAGTTGCAGAGCTACTTACATGCTTAACTTATAAAGATAAGATCAAGTGGAATAAAGAAACAAAAGCATCATTTGAAGCTTTGAAGAAAGTTTTTATTTCTATATCAATCTTGAATTGCATTGACTTTTTAAAAGCATTTTTTATAGAAATAGATGCATCTAACTTTGCCTTGGGTGCAATCTTGTCACAAATAGGAACAAATAACAAACTTCATCCAGTAGCTTTTCATTCAAGAAATTTTTCAACAACTGAGATTAATTATGAGATCCACAAGAAGGAACTTCTTACAATCATGGTTTTTTTTTGAAGAATGGCATCATTATTTAGAAGGCACTTCAAGTCCAGTCATTATATATATGAATAAGAAGAACCTCGAGTATTTCATGTCACCACATGTTTTAAATCGTTACCAGGCTTATTGGAGTATGTCTTTGTCAAGATTCAAGTTCAATATCACTTATTGGCCAAAAAAATAATAAGGTTTATCTGATGCTCTTTTTAGATTATATCTTCCATCAAAGAAAGAAATGCATCTTTTGATCAGCAAAGAACGATTCTCTTAAAGCCAGAGCATTTTCACCTTTGAATAATGAAATCAACAATGATTGTTGATTCAATCCTTGTGAAACAAATCCAATCAAGTATGTTTTCTGATCTTCTTATTTACAATATCAAGAATTCTTCTTCTAAGTTGTAAAATACTTCTAAGTTTGAGTTCAAAAACAACCTACTCTATTTTGAAGGTCGATTTTATGTTCCAAAAGGGAAAGCACAATTATGTGTTCTTCAAGCACGTCATGACTTTCCAACATCAAGAAATTTTGGATACAACAAGACTTTGGAGCTTATATTTAGAGATTTTTAGTAGCCTTAAATGTGGAAGGGTGTAAAAGACTTTGTTCAGTCATGGGACATTTGTTCAAGATCAAAAACTCTCCGTCATCGACTTTACGGACTTCTTCAACCATTACTCATTCCAAAACAATCATAATCTTCTATTTCTATGGAGTTTATTATGGATCTTCCAATCTCAGGTTTTTATGTCTCTATATTTGTGATAGTAGATCATTTTACCAAGATGGAAAATTTTGTACCATGTACAAAATTTATCACAAGTGAAGAAACAACTAAATTCTTTCTTAACAACATCTATTATTATCATGGATTATCCAAAGATATTATATCAAATAGAAAAACTCAGTTTGTATTAAGATTTTGGCATTCTTTTCAAGATTCTAAAAGTAGATATAAAACTATCTTCAACATTCCATCTTCAAATTGATGGACAAACAAAGCGTGTTAATTAAGTTTTAGAGCAGTATTTAAGATGTATCATTAACTACCAACAAGATGATTAGACAACTTTTTTTCTATTGGCAGAGTTTGCTTATAATAACACAGTACATTCTTCTATAAAACAAATGCCTTTCTTTGCCAATTATGATTATCATCTACAACTTGATACTTTTGACTTTTCAAAAGTTGATAATCCTATGGCAGGAGATTTGGCAAATCATTTGTCAGAGCTACATACAACAATGAAGGCACAATTAAAAGAAGCTCAAGAATGACAAAAGATCAATGTGAATGTCTATCAAAAGGAACAACCACAATTCAATGTAGGCAACAAGGTATGATTACTTCATTGTAATATCAAGATCACTCATCCTTGTCATGAATTGGACTATTGTAGACTCAGACTGCTTTTTATTTTTAAATAAGTCAATCCAGTTGCATATCGATTATACTTACCATAAGGAATGAAGATTTAACCTATATTCTACGTATCTCTTTTTGAACCATACAAAAACGTGAATATATCGAGAAGAAAACAAGTGCTATCTCCTCTTATAGAATTAAATAATAATAAAGAATTTGAGGAGAAGAAGTCTTTGATTCAAGACGATACCAAAATAGGTTGAAATATCTTATTCATTGGTGCAAATATAATATTAGTGAACATATATGAGAGTCAGCAAAGAATCTTACAAATGTAGCAAGGAAGGTAGAAGTTTTTCATTGATGACATCCATCAAAATCAAGATGAAGATCTTTCCTATGAAAGAAACAAGATCTAGGCAAGATAACATTCTACCTTTTATACTTGTTTATAATTCTTGTATATTTGTGATGCTAAGGAGATGAAGAATCAACAACCAGTAGATTCAACTCATGAGCCTTTGTTTATTGACTTAGTAGATGAGACATTGCAATTGCCACAACCTTCAAGATGACACAATCGAGATTAAGATCCTCAAGAATGACATGTTTTTTTTCAAATGGATGGCAAGATACAACGCGTTTGGTCTCACGATCTTAGAAGAGACTCCTGATGTTTGGTAATTTTATTAGAGATAGAAACAATTCCTGACAGTATTCCAAATATTTTATTTGAATGAAGTTATTAAGGCCTCAATGACAATCAAATAATAGGGTGGTATTCCCACTCTGGTATGGGATAGTATCGATGGTTTAGAAGCCCTATGAAACGCCTCGTAGAATCTTTAAAGAGAACAAAGATCTAAGTATATGGCAAATACAATTTGTCGCATCATAAATTTCTTCAATATATGATGATCGCTTCTTGTGGAACTTGTTCCTAGAAGGAGGGATAATATCACGAACATATACATCTAAGCTAATAATTATCTATATAAATATATAGAAGTAAATAGAAATAAGTAAAAGTAAGTTAATTCTATAATATCTTCTATAGAAGCATCTTAAAAGCTTTATAAATGTTGCTTTAACTTTATAGGTGTCTATAATTGACTTTTTGGGTTATAAACGTAGTCAACAAGATAGCCATGTGCCACATATGTTGTTAGCTTGAAGAAGAAGCTAACTATTTGGCCTATATGTAGAAAAACTTGCCTTATAAGTCAAGGCATTTGTCCTACAAAGTCAACACATATTGGAGGTCCTATAGAATATTGCCACGTAGCCCCTAGTTAGATAGTATATATAGAGACAAGAGTGAAGCCTTCTTCACTCTTGTCAAATTCTTTCTTGCTTTTAGTCTAGTTTCAAGAGTCTTGTGTTTTCTAGTCTTTGGCAATAGTCATTCTAGTTCTTCCTTGAATTCACATACTTTCTTCTATTTTGTCACTTTCTTTTTAACATAGATTCCACAAGTCTATGCATCTTCTTTTAGTTTGTGTCCTTGATAGTTTGCCATCAACATCACTTGCTTTGCTTCATTCATTGCAACTCAATTACTAAAACAAAGACTTAATCAGTATATAATAAAGCTAAAGAATGTGAAGAGTAAGGCTTTGCCATCAATGGAATGGAAGGTAAGAAAATGCCCTATGAAACGCCTCGTAGAATCTCCCAATCAATTATAAAATGGATTGTGAATACTACAAAATATTAACCTTTTTGATGAAAATGAAGATCCATCCACGTGGTGAATGAGAGCCACTACTTTTCTCCTTGAGTGATCTTAATATATAAATACTATGGATAAAAATAAATAAATGACCTAATTGGACAACTTATGCATACAAATTTTGTTCAAATTATCATTTTTACAAAATATATTTGGAAGTAAAAACTCCCAAATATATGTTTTAATTGAAATTAATTAGATATATAGTTGCATTTACATAAAATATTTTATTTTATTTTTCTTAATTTTTCAAAGTTTGTCAATTATAATATTGTCATGGTGCATCAAATATATCTATTCAAATTGAAATTCATTTGAGTCGAATGGTTGATATGGTAATAGAAGGCCTAAAGAATGTTACTTTTGCATTTCACCTATTACCATTCGTTGCATGAGGTCATTGCAAGTGGTTTTTCTTTAAAACAATTCATATATTTACATCAACTTTCATTTATTAAAATTTCATGTACAGAATTTGAATAAACTTCTTTTGGACCATATTCTCAAATAATAGCTTGATTATAAAATAATTTTGAATTAAATTATCACAATAACCTAATGAATGATATTAATAGTTGATACTAAGGCAAAAAGATATAATTGTTGAATTAATTTAATTGTTTGTAGGTATAAATAATCTAAATTCTCTCTCTCTCTCTCTCTCTCTCTCTCTCTCTCTCTATATATATATATATATATATATATATCACTGTGCAAATAAAATTATGATAATTCTTCAAAAAATTGTGATGAAAAACCAAAGCTTGTGAACACCAATTTTTTGGTTTCAAATATTAAGTACACACATCCAAAAGTTAGACTAAGAAACACTTACTTTGAATGAAAAACGCATAAAATAATAAATTACTTATGAAAATATACCTTACATGGGTAGGAATAAATTATCATAAGTCAAAAATTTATTTTGATTGAAAGCAATATGATAAACTAAACGCAATAGATACTCAATTTCATAACAAATCTAGCTTTAGGACAAAACATAACAACCATGAAAGTAATTTTTACACATGCAAGTCCGTAGATTTTACTATCATTCCTACACTCTTGGGTACACCAATATTAAACATTATTTAAAAATTTATGGGTACTCAAAAAAAATGTCATTGCCATACCATTCAGAATATTTATACATGAGGGAACGTGTGGGAACTGGTGGGAACTGGCGGGAAGGTGACGCTGGCATTTCATTGAGAGAAAATGGATGAATGAAACTTCATTCGGAGAACGGATGAATGAAACTCCTGGCAAACCCTAGATAGTCCTCCGTCTCGACGAAGCCAGCCCTTTCTCTGGTCGGCTCCCCTGCGTATGCCCAGCGCCAGCCCCACGCTGTGCTTCTTGTCGTCCCTCCTCATCCACCATGGTGTGTGTGTGTGTGTATTGCGTTTTTATCCTCTTTTCTCATTGTACTGCTTGTGCTTAAGCTCATATGACATGGTTTGTGTTTTTTTAGTCTTTCTCTTTTTCTTCTTCTTCTTTTTTTTTTTTTTTTTTTTTTTTTTTCTCCTCTCGCTCTCTCTCCGACGACATTGTTGATGTCTAGGGTTTATGCCGTCGTGACTGATACTAGTTGTGTGTGTGTGTGTGGTGGTGGTTTTTTTCAGTCGCTCATCGCGGGTGAGGAATTTCAGCACATTCTTCGTGTCCTTAACACGAACGTCGATGGACGCCAGAAGATCATGTTTGCCTTGACCTCCATTAAGGGAGTTGGTCGTCGTTTCGCCAACTTAGTGTGCAAGAAGGCCGATGTCGATATGAGCAAGAGGTGAGTGAGTCAGGTTGTTGTTATCGTGCTGTGTCTCGACTCGTTGTGTAAGTCGGATCTCTGTTATTTGAGTGTCTGTGCTGTCACTGGAACAGGTTGTGACTGTACTTCTCCCTGAACAGCGACTCGGATCCTCTTATTTATTGTAAAATTGTGGTTCGATTTTTTAGTATTGTTCTAATTTTAGTCTTCTTTTATTCTTCAGAGCCGGTGAGCTCTCCGCAGCAGAGCTGGAGAACTTGATGGTGATTGTTGCTAACCCTCGCCAGTTCAAGATTCCAGATTGGTTTCTTAACAGAAAGAAAGACCACAAGGATGGTCGTTTCTCCCAGGTTGTTTCTAACGCTTTGGACATGAAGCTGAGGGATGATCTGGAGCGTCTCAAGAAGATCAGGTATGGGGAAATTCTTACAATTCGCTGTCTTATTTCTTAATGCAATGTGATGCTTTGACATCTCATCTTTAGGACTTTAGAACCAACATTCATTGTCTCGTGCGATCGTTACTTTCGTCTTTTTGTAGGGACCCCCTCAGTCCGCTGCTTAGACAACTTTAGGTTAGGGCATTTAAGCTGCAAGTCTTAATACCTCGTTTTCTTGTGGTCGGGGAAAATAATATCCAGACTCACTTGTTGGCGTGAATTTTTTTCTTGTATGGATCTTTTTTTCGTACACATTCTTTTCTTTTGTAGATTCTTAATTACTCTAATGTTGCTGAAATCAATGGCCGCTTATGTTGCAGGAACCACCGTGGTCTTCGTCACTACTGGGGCTTGCGTGTACGTGGACAGCACACCAAGACAACTGGACGTCGTGGACGGACCGTTGGTGTGTCTAAGAAGCGGTAGAAAGTCCTGCATGTGTTGTCTTGAGGGTATTATAATTGACCTTCTGGCAAGTGCACTCTTAATGAAGCAGCATTTACAATTTTATACAATGTTTGCATGTTGTGTCCAACCGAGTTTGCGAATTAACCCTCTACTATGTGATTCTTGGTGGTGGTTTGATTAAGAATCGTTGTGGTCATCACATTTTTAATGGTGTCATTTCCTCCGAATTTTCTATCTCAGTTCTTGCTCCCTTGGCCACATTCGATTAGTGAAAAAAAAAGGGTTGTTTGAGGTCGAGTGTTCAGTTGTCCAGGTTTGAAGTGGCAGTAAGTCAATGCCAACTGAATGTGAAAGTCAATGACGTGCAACGAATATTTCTGAAATGATTTTCGTGTCGAATCTAAGAACATTAAGTGGAGGCGTGGCTTTGTCCAAGACCGGTCTCGGTTGCCAACAACGATCAATTCTGGGATTATGTATTCTAGCGTGTACAGATCATCCATACAACTACGTAGTGAACTTAGGAATAATTAATACCGTGGATAAGTCATCATCATGCAGAAGCATGATTCTAGTGAGGACTTGTTGATGACATTGATTTGAAACTATTTCAGCAAATATGTCGGTAATCATAATTCCGTTTTGAATTTTCTTAATTCGTAGATTCTAATTTGCAGGCCATATTTTAGTTAATAGTAACCAAATTGTTAAAATACAGTTCATTTGTCCCTCGGTCAGAAAGAATTATCAATTGTACAGAGCTCACTTAATAGCTTTTAAATAGCAAATATGTATAGGTGTGCGTTAATCTTATTGAGAATGTTGAGAAAGATACAAGAGTAATAGTAAGTAATACACACACATAAGAGAAGTAGTAAGTCATACACACAAGAGGGTTTCTAAGGAGAGAGAGCTTCACCCGTAAAATTCTATTGATTTGGTTGTGTCTTGTAAACAAGAAGAGAAAAGGGGAGAGGATAAATAGTACTTCTCTGTTAGATTTTAAATACTATAGCTATGGTATTTACTGTAGTCTACAATAAATGTTATGGAGAGTGCTGGCTACATTTAATGATCTCACCACTCCTCCTTGCTCATCATAATATTTACATAATATAAAATTTGTATAGAATTATGATCTATACTTTTGTGTGATCTTGCAAGATCAACAATTGTTGCCTCATTAAAACCTCATTTAGGAAAACCTTATTGTATTTAAGGACAAAACCATAGATGAAGGAAAAAGAGTACAACATCATTTTCTTTAATTATTTAAAGAGCTCATTAACGTTCTTATTCAAGAAAAGCATGTCACCACATACCAATGCCATAAGTAAGTCGACGATGGTTGCACAATGGGAGAGCTTTGGTGAAGAGATTAGCAAGGTTATTTGTAGATTCAATTTTCTTAATTATAAGTGCTTGATCAATAATCAAGTCATGGATATAACTAAAATACTTTGGATCAATATGCTTTGTCATGTCCCCTTTAATGAAACCAACATGCATCTGTACAATACAAGTACTATTATCTTCATGCAAGATAGTTTGAGAATCATCATATGAAAATCCACAGGTTCTTTGAATGAATTTACCAATTGATCGCAATCAAATACATTCTCGAGATGCTTCATGTAAGACAATAATTTCTGCATAGTTGGATGAAGTTGCACTTATTGTTTGTTTCACTGATTTCTATGATATTGCAGCTCCATGTCTTAAAAATACATATCCTGTTCGAGATTTAGATGATGTAGTATTAGATTTATATCATGCATCACAATATCCAATCAATTTTGGATCTGTGGATTGTGTGTAGTATAATCCCAAGTCTTTAGTACCTTTTAAATAACGTAATAAATGTTTGATGCCATTCCAATGTCGTAGTGTTGGACGTGCACTATGTCTTGCAAGAACACTAACTGCAAATGTAATATCTGGTCTTGTAGATGTAGCTAAATATAAAAGTGCTCCAACCATTGCGAGGTATGGATATTGATCTTCCAATATTTCTTCCTCCTCTTCATATGGACAATATGGATCATGACCATCATGACTACGTCCAACCATTGGTGTAGACAATGGATAAACATCAATCATATTAAATCTTTGCAAGATTTGTCTAATATACATTAATTGGTAGAAAAAAATGCTACCATCTGTTAGATGCATAATTTGAAGACCAATGCAGAAAGTTGTTTTTCCTAGCATTTTCATCTCAAATTCATGTATAAATAGATTAGTAGCTGTAACACATGCAGATGTAGTGCCCTTTAAGTTAAGATCATCAACATATACAAAACCAGTTTTATCTCGTTTGATAAACAAACAAGGGATTAGTGGATCACTTATAAAATTATTTGTAATTAAATAATCTCGAAGACATTGATACCACATGCGTCCAAATTGTTTTAAACCATACAAGGTATTACATAATTTAATACCATGATATTGTCCTAGAGCGGGTCCATTTTGAATTCCTGTTTCTAAGCCAGGTGGAACTTTCATATAAATATTTGCATCAAGAGAACCATATAGATATGCAGTTACTACATCCATCAGATGCATCTCAAGGGTCACATGAACTATAATTCCAATAATATATCGAAATATAATTGAATCCATGATTAGAAAATATGTGGATTCATAATCAATGCCAAATTTTTGAATAAATCCTTAAGCAACAAGACAAGCTTTATAGCGGGTTATCTGACCTTGAGCATCTCACTTGCATATTAATACCATCATATATCCCACATGGCGAGATATAAGAGTGTCTACAATTGGACCAAAGACTTTCCTCTTATGTAAAGAGGCATACTCTTCTTCAATAGTAGTTTTTTTTTTGACCAACCAGAGCGATGCATCGCCTCCTCAATGGTTTGAAGTTTAGGATTGTCTTCCTCGCAAGAAAGGGCTTCTATAATCATATATGCAAATAATTCATCTATCGTAATAGATGGTGTGTCCCAAATATAATCTGTAGTACAATACATAATAGATAATTCTTTACTCAACTTATTTTTATTCCTTCCAATTTCATAATTATTTTTCATAAGAATTAAAGGTACATTATGCATGGATATATCATTATGAATTGATAGTCCCGCAGGACGAGTAGCAATTTCTTGAGAAATAATACCAGGATTAGTCAATTTTATAGCTTTCTTCTTACGTGGTTGCTTATCTGGTGCATGACTTCTTTTAGTTGTTGTTGTTATAAGTTGAGGTATTGTAGTCAATGGCATTGCAATCTGAGCAGGTACATTTTGAGCCTCATTAATAGGAACTCTTGTAATTTTAGGTCCATCATTGAAGCCATCAGGTGTTTCATCTGCGATCCATTTTAGATACAAAATCTTAGCAACTTCAGTTTCTGCCAAAGATGTCCTAGGATCCGGATTCACTGTAAATATTTTTAGTGCTTTAAATATGAGTACTTTATTTCTTTGTTGATTGAATACTCCTCCTTGAAGAGATGTGAATACATTTTCTTCAAAACGGCAATTTTACAAACGTGCACTTAATAATGTGCCAGTTGATGGATCAACAATATGAATAATGCTTGGTGAATCAAAACCAACATATATGCCTTCTTGTCGATGAGCTCTAATGGTATACCGTTGAGGTTCTGGTACTAGAATCCAAGCACGGCAATCAAATACTCGTAAGTGAGATACATTTGGAACACAACCCAAAATGAACTCATGTGGTGAAACAATTTCAAGAGAAGAATAGCGGAGGCATATTAATGATGCAGCATGTAAAACTACATGATTCCACATAGATGCAGGTAAATTTGCATGAAGGAGGAGTGGCTGGATAATGAGTTGTATATGCTTTATAAATGACTCTGCAAGTCCATTTTGAGCATGTTCATATGGAACATAATATATCAACTCAATTGCTGTTGCAGTACAATAGTTTTCAAAAGATTCTAATGCGAATTCTTTTGTATTATCCATACGCAATGTTTTTATAGGATAATCAAGATAATATGCCCAAAAATAAATAAGCATAGATATAAGATTAGCAAATACTATTTTTTGAATTGATAATAATGAAATATGTGATTTTTTACTTGATGCATCAACAAAGGCCAAAAAATAACAAAATGGTCATGATATTGGATTAATAGGACTACAAATATCACCATACAATTTTTCAAGCATTGGTGGTAATTCTTGTAGAAGTTTCCAAATTGAAGGCCGATAAAAATCATTTTACCTTGTATTGATACACAACATAATTCTATAGAGTCTACATCTGCAGGCTTTAAATTGTGTCCATTTATACATAGAATGATCTTTCTAAATAATGTGGATTCTGGATGTTCCAATTGTCCATGCCAGAGAGAAACACGACTCTCTATGATAGATGATGTAAAATTAAATATAATAGGAGGCCAAATCACAATTCAGTATAAACTATTTTCTATAGCAAAAGCTTTTTCAAAAAATTTATAGCAAGAACCAAAACCTCTTTTCTATTTAAAATGGCAGTCAAAAGGTGATAACCATTAATACATACATCTCAGTAGCTGATCAAACTCTGACATGCTAAAGGTGCAAACATTGCATGTTTACATTTTATGTTGGAACCCGCACGTAATTTTACCATCGCTGTGCCTTCTTCGAAACAAAATGCATTTGCTCCAGCCATGGTCATCATATTTTTAGCTTGCCAAGTTGAAGATTTTTCAATAAAAAATTGTCTATCTTGCAAGATAGGATATGTTGTTGCAGAATCAATGAGTGCATCATTTGATTCATCATTAGAGGTTTTGTCATTTATATAAGCCTCTAAGTCATCAACACCAATTGAATCCATCAACGCATCCATGATATAAACTTAATGAGCCTCAGTTCGTAATTTCTTATTTTCTTGGAATATTTTAATAAAATATTTTGAAATATTGCAAGCATGTACTAAATGTCCAATCATTCCACACTTATGATAAGAACGCATCTCTGATTTTTTTTTCTACTATAATTAATAGTAGAACATTTATTCTTTCCATATGAGTAGAAATAATCATGACTATGACTACCTTGATACTTATAAGCACGTTTTCCATGTTTATATAATTTTTTCTTAGATTTTGAAATATT